ATATTTTAATGCATCTCACCTTTCCGTATCTCTTTGTTAGAGTTTGGTAAAGATTTAAATAACTAGCATGTTTTCCTTTCAAGTAAGTATTGGTTCCATTTGTTCCCCCTGGTTCATCTGTGAAGAATCCCAATGAGCCTTTTTGAAAACTCATCATTTGCGGTCACTTTAGAATGGCAATTTATTGCAATGTATTAAGAATGTTTTATTGCACTCCACTAAAGCCATGAAATGCAAGGGACCATGAAGATTGCAAAATACAAATGATAGATGTGTCTTTTTCCCTTTATTTTCTAGCCTTCGTTGAATCCTGGAGGGAGCCCATCATCTGACGTAGTGCTTCTGAACCACTGGAAAGTTAGGAATTTTGAAGTACGGCGTGGTGATATCGTGTCACTGGTGTAAGTGAATCAGAAACTTTCCGTGTTGTATATAAAGTTCTGTGTGCTTTTATTGGTATATTTGGTTAATGGACGCTTAGCATGATATTGTAAATTATTTAATTACTGGGTGTTTTTAAGAATCTATTCTAAAATATGACAAGGCTATAAAAATGAAGGAAAAATTCTTTAATATTTAAAATACATTAGTGGATTGACATTCTTATATTTGACAAAATGTGTTTCATGAAATAATGATTAGAAATTATGCTTAATATAAAAAATTGATACATGTTATATTCTTTTTTTGATCATTTTGAAAGTTTGAATCTTGGTAAGCAATTTTTAAGTGACACAAATTTTCTTAGTTTGTGGCACTGGAAATAATTCTATAGATAGTAAATCTATAGATTTCTATAGATGAAATTTAATGACATTGTTCTATATGGAGAGTTGTACTGAAAAGGGAAATTTGCAAGACTTGTAACATGAAGGCTTTTGTTTGAGGCCAAAAGGTGGCACTGTTTCTCTGTTAAAATATTGAGACTGGTGAGGAACAAGAATTCCATCCAGGTCGCCTTCACATAGAAAGGGAATGTCAAAGTGTGTATAACTGACAATGATATAATACATAGTCCTTGGATAATTTATGCTTGAATGGTTTAGCTTTGAGATGTGCTTTTTTTTCTTTATGTTAAAAGTATGTGCATACTAAGAGGGCGATGGAATTTGCCTAGTTTCTTTTGGTTTCAGCTACTTAAGGAAATATTTTAATTAGCTTCCTGGTTTTGCCTGTTACAACACAGAGGTAGCAGTTATCATAGTTTTAGTGTCGTTTGTTTTAATGATAGTAAGAACTGCTTGATGAGGACTTTTCCACGTGATGTTTCTAATTCTTGAATTGAGATGATTGTTTTCTTTCTGGGCAAAAATTTACTATTGTTTGGTTAAAAGCACTACATTTCTCATACTTCTAGCTAGTGTTTTGTAAAATAAATAGGTATGCTCCAAATGTATTTCGTTCTAGGCAGTTCTCCTAGGATTTATTTGGAACCAAATCTGGTTAAGAAACTAGCAAAATAAATGTAATTTGAGTGGAGTTTTGTATGGCAGACATTCAAAGATGGGGATTAAATAATTCCACAATCTTGAGAGCTTTCTCTAATATTAGCCTACTCTTTGGAGTATACTTTGATTTTTGTCATTCAGAGCTCTTTTTTCTTGCCTCCCTAAGAACCTGCTCCGTGCTGGCCCAGCCTGTGTGTGCTTGGGATTCTTTTGCCTTTGCTTTGGTTTGACAAGGTTACATTCTCACTTAGTTGGTGGCAGAAAGAACACTCACCCGAGTGGAAGAGGTCTCATTATATGCAGACATTTGTACAGTATTTGTGTGTCTGAATCATGCTGACTACTGATAAGTAAGTAAATTTGAATAGGTAATTGGAAAAAAAATAAAGGGTAACTTCTTAAAACAAGACTGTTTGTATAAGTCCTTAAAAGTACTCTAGTGTATCATGTTAAAAGAAGAGTAATATTAATTTATGTGTTTGTTAAAGTGATTGATAAAGAGCTCTGGTGGCCTAGTGGCGAGAAGGTGCACTACAGTCTCAAAGGGATGTGGTTCCAGGCCAACAGCTGTCGTGGGAGAAGGACATACAAGCTCCTCTTGTAGGATTCACTGCCTCTGGAAAACCGCCCAAGGGTCAGCTATGGGTCATTTCCAACTTGATTGTACACAACAGCAACAAAGTGATTGATAATTATGATATAAATCATTATAAAAAGAGTACATTAAAATTAGAATTGATAAAATAAATTGCAGCCATTTATGTTGAGCTGCATCTTTACTGAGTTGATGTTGGTTGGTTGCAGATTATTTATGTTAAAAATGCTTAGTGACAAGTACCATTATCTAACAACAAATAATCTTTAAGTGACAATTATTGCTTTTTTGAGACAACAGAAAAATCAGACATTATTTTTTAATTCTTCATTTGTATGACTTAATACTATAAAATTAAGTTACTTTAAGTGTTTTGACCAAAAATGCTTTATTGATGCATGCTGTCATACTTTTTACATTTTCTAGATTGTTTCATTTGAGAAGATTAATATTAGTTTGATAAACATTCATACTGGACATTTAACTCATGTTAAACCACACTGAATGTTTACTTCTCTTATAGATATGCCAGTCTGGTTTTAATATAGATACTTTTTATTCCATCATTGAAACAACATTTCTACTATTTGATAAGCATTTCAGAAAGAAACTCTACAGTTTGTAGCAGTCCATACTATAGTAGAAGCAAATCATCCTTGAAAAACAACAATTTCAGTAAGAATATTAGTACAATTTAAAATACATATTAATTTTCTATTTAATGAAGAAAGATTGGGGCAAACAGCATTTTGCCTTTTAAAAAAGGTGAGATCATACCTCATTGTGATTTTGATTTGCATGTCTTACTGGCAGTGATTTTGAGCATTTATTCACTTATCTGATTGTCTTCCTCTGCAAAAACTCTTTTGCCCATTTTATATCTAGGTTACCAGTCCTTCTCATGTGGAGGCCCTGTAGTACTCTGTAAACTCTTGTTATGAAGCCCTCCTCTGTGATGTCATTGCCATAATCCCGCTTAGATCAATGGTGATTTGTTTTGTAAAACACAAATTGGGAATGTTTATATGAAACACAATGTGAATGAAGGACTGTGTGAAACACAATATTCTGTGACACAATGTATATGGATTTTAAATGCAAACTAATATATATATATATATGACTGTATCCCTACATGGAGATCCTGACTGTAGAAGACATGGGTAGACCTCTTAAGGTACTAGGACAAAAGTGTTCAGTTGGTTTGAGTGGAAGAATCCTTAGACAGAAGAAAGATATGATTTGTTCACTTTGTCTTAAACTACTTGGTTGAATGTTTTTGGCTTTCTTAGTAATGAAAAAAAAAATTCTAAACAAGCTTGAAAGCAGGAGTGGCATCCACTTCTAAAATAGCTTGCCTCCAGAAACTGTATGGACTTGGAGAAATGATGAAAGTTATACAAGTGTTCAGGTCTTTTGTTCATAGGGTCACTATGAGTCGTCTACAACTCGACGGCACTTAACAAGAACAACAACTATATATATATAAATATGTAAAAGGTGTAGGTATCTTGATGGAAGGTGAGATAAGGGAGGGTGACGGTTGTTGGCATGCAACTATAAGGACATCATTGGAAGTTGCAGACAGAAAAGGTTGTGAACTTTGTACAGAATATTCTGGTATCAGAGTTGCATGCAGGTATGGAAACCATAAAATAAGGATCATTATTTCTTTAGAGTTTACATTTTTAAATAAAGACTGAGATCAACCATGTGATAAGCACTGAATTCTAAGAGACGATTAGAACAGAGTATAATACTGACTCTTCCCCTACATGCTCTTGTTAGTGTACTTGACCTTAAGTTGTTGTGATTAATGAAGCAAACATTAATGATTTGGGGAAAAATCACCTGCGAGCCAGTGTAGCTTCCACATTATGCAGAAATCCTTTTCCGGTTTACCCGTCTCTTGTGGACTAATTTATGTTGCAGAAACTCATGCTATAGACAAGAAACTGTTCCTTTTCTTGTAAGGGCTTTATTCACTTCATTGACTCAGACTCGTAAAAAGTCTGGAGAGAGAGTCAGGAGGTGGATGGATATTGTGATATATACTTACTTTCATTTTATTGTATCTTTTCTTTCTGTAAAAAATAATGATCACAGTGGAGCTATTATTTAAGCTTATTTTCTGTTAATGCTAATTCAGTAGCTCGATTTATCTAATAAGAATATTGGTCACACAAAACACCCCATGTGGTCACATCATGTGTTTATGCATGTGGCATCATACTCTCTTAGTGGATTTGGAAACTCATAGTAGTGATTAAGGGGGGATTTTCTGCACTTGGGGATTGAATTTTCATTAACCTGTCTGATGGCCTTAGTGCAATAGGCTTAACGTAAGTAGTACCATTTCACAGGGTTTTATCTATTAACAAGTTCATTGGGATAGACATTCCTTCATAAGCATGTTTTAAATGATCTCTTTAAAAAAGATTTCAACTTTTTATTGTGAAGTAAAATGAAAGAAAATTTGTAAAAATAGTATAGAGTACTCCTTTACACTCTTCACTGAGCTCCTTCTAATATTAACATTTTACGTAACCATAGTAAAATCTTTGAAACCAGGAAATTGCCAAAAGTATTTATACACCTATAGAACTTATTTGAACTACATGGGTTTCCCCAGAATTGTTCTCTTTTCCCTCTAAACTATGACCTAGGATCCCATATTTTCCTTTCCTTCTCCTCTGATGTGTCACCTTGTTTTTCTTGTCTTCCATGACCCTGGTACTTTTGAATGGTGAGAGGACAGTTATCTTGTGGAATGACCCTCAACCTCTCTTAAGTTGTGAGGTTTTAGTTTGTCTTGAAATAGAGACGCATTAAGGTTGATGGCAGTGTCTGTGCAGGTCCCATGGTGGTGGCAGTTGGTTGAGGGAGAAACAGTGACAATAGAGACAGCAGGGAGGTCGAGGAGACAGGGACAGAAGCCATCTCTCCTGTGATTCTTTGAGGAACAAATCCTTTTAGTTACTTGGGGTCATATTTTGAGCCATAACTTAAAGGGTCCATGTTATCTTGAAATTAGTTTCTAGCTGATAGGAAGCAAGGAGGTGGTGCAGGTGGAAGGGGGTGGAGGAAGGTTGCCATTTAAAGATTGAAGGAAAGGAAGCAAAGTCAACAATTTCATTGCAATGAGTCAGTGTTAAGTTCTAAAGCAGAGTGGGGAAGATACTGAACTTCTCTTTGATGACCTAGCATCTCTCTGTATCAGGTGTTACACAAGAGCCTTTTCTATGTCGTCTTTATTAACTAACAGTTTTAGGGGAACAGTTATTTTTAACTGAGGTCCAGAGCACATGAATGGCATGTAAATAGTAGAGACTTGTTTCAATTTAGGTTCATTTGACTC